ACCTTGGGGAAACTCTACTGGTTTGTACTTATAGCAAAGGAAGAGAAAATATTAAGCAGTTGGAAATTGAAACTTTTCAACAGCAATAAATAGAATAATGATCCTTGATTAAGTCTCTTTATGTTCTTAGTGCAGTCTACTTGCATGCCGCATTTATATTATAATCAAACTAAAATTGTATTTGGAGTAGCATTTTGAAAGAATTCACAGAAATTTCTATTTTTAGTAACCACGGCAACACCGTTCATCGAAATCAAAAACCGATACACAGAATTATGTATCTTAGTGTAGTCTACTTGTGTGCCAAGTTATATTGAAATCAGACTAAAACTGTAGGAGGAGTAGCATTTTGAAAGAATTTCACAGAAATTTCTATTTTTAGTAACCACGGCAACACCGTTCATCAAAATCAAAAACCGATACACAGAATTATGTATCTTAGTGTAGTCTACTTTTGTGCCAAGTTATATTGAAATCAGACTAAAACTGTAGGAGGAGTAGCATTTTGAACGAATTTCACAGAAATTTCTATTTTTAGTAACCACTGCAACACCGTTCAACGAAATCAAAAACCGATAAACAGAATTGTGTATCTTAGTGTAGTCTACTTGTGTGCCAAGTTATATTGAAATCAGACTAAAACTGTAGGAGGAGTAGCATTTTGAACGAATTTCACAGAAATTTCTATTTTTAGTAACCACTGCAACACCGTTCAATGAAATCAAAAACCGATACACAGAATTGTGTATCTTAGTGTAGTCTACTTTGTGCCAAGTTATATTGAAATCAGACTAAAACTGTAGGAGGAGTAGCATTTTGAAAGAATTTCACAGAAATTTCTATTTTTAGTAACCACGGCAACACCGTTCATCGAAATCAAAAACCGATACGCAGAATTACGTATCTTAGTGTAGTCTACTTGTGTGCCAATTTATATTGAAATCAGACTAAAACTGTAGGAGGAGTAGCATTTTGAAAGAATTTCACAGAAATTTCTATTTTTAGTAACCACGGCAACACCGTTCAACGAAATCAAAAACCGATACACAGAATTGTGTATCTTAGTGTAGTCTACTTGTGTGCCAAGTTATACTGAAATCAGACTAAAACTGTAGGAGGAGTAGCATTTTGAACGAATTTCACAGAAATTTCTATTTTTAGTAACCACGGCAACACCGTTCATCGAAATCAAAAACCGATAAACAGAATTATGTATCTTAGTGTAGTCTGCTTTTGTGCCAAGTTATATTGAAATCAGACCAAAACTGTATGAGAAGTAGCATTTTTAAAGAATTTCACAGAAATTTCTATTTTTAGTAACCACGGCAACACCGTTCATCAAAATCAAAAACCGATACACAGAATTATGTATCTTAGTGTAGTCTACTTGTGTGCCAAGTTATATTGAAATCAGCCAAAACTGTAGGAGGAGTAGCATTTTGAAAAATTGTTTACAGAAAAAAAAGAGGAGAGGACCATTACTATCGCATAAGCTCTTCTGGTCCTAAAAGGTGAGCTAAAAATGATAGTGCCAATGGTAAAACTAGTACTTAGTTGGGTAGGGCCCAAGCCCAATGTGATGCAGGTGTTCAAATACATGTATAGTGCAAGAACAAATTAAAAATTTCTTTTACGAAAGATGTTTTATCTTAACTTTGCCATCTGGGCCTTTTTCCAAAAACAGGCAAATAAGGTGTGTTTGTGTGTGTGTGTTGATGGAAGAGGGGGGGGGGTTGACTAAATTGTGTATATGGCAGTTTTAAAAAATTTAGAACCGCCTTATCAAATATAAATAAACTTTGACATTTTGAAAAATTCACAAAAACTTTTACACTAATTTGAATAATATTATTTGTTGTTGATCTTGTTTGGGAAAAATAGATTTAAAAAGTTCCAATTATGTGTCAAAAATTTTCCCCCCCCCCTTTAATCAAACCTAATTTACATCATTAATTTAATTCTGTTGTTTAATCTCAGACTGGTAATGAATTAAGGATATAAAATATATTAGATGGAGGCCCATGGGTCACATGGTCACCTGAGCATATTATGCTCAATTTGATAAAACATGTATTATGTAAATTTTGAATTATATTGACTTTTTCCTTGGTAAAGCCCAATATGAAGGAGGGGCATTTAGAGGCAAACACCTTAGTGCGGGTATTACTGTCTCATGACAGCATCTAGTTATAAAATTAATCTTTCCTGTATTTACTAATGGCTTGGGCTTTCATATTTCACTTGCATATTTTAGAAAACAAGTCCCTTCTTTAAGTTATATCGATATTTTTGATTTTTGGCCCTAACCATGGAGTTTGACTAGCATTTGAGAATCCTCAGGCTTGGCATTAAGCTGCCCCATGGGAGCATCAGTGTTGCACAATTATGTTCTTTTGAATGGGATTTACTGCAAATAATAAGACATAAAAAAATTTAACTTTTCTTAATTTATTATTTAATAACACGTAACTTTTACACATTCAAATATTCACATAAGCCATATTAATGTCCGTTTTTTTGTCACATTTCATCACTCCTTACTATCCGCTGGTTCAAACGTGTAATGGACAGTTCTCTGTATCTCTGATGGATCTCTGTATGTCACCACCTGAGAGTAGGTGTAGGGGAATTGTTTAGGCAGCTACAAAAGACAACATTTACATTTCCAATAAATTTTCCCTATGATTCTTTACAAAATAAAATTTTCTCATGAACTACACTACATATGTCCACAATGCGGAATACATGTATCTCCATTGTTAAGTCACTTGACGTCAAAAAATATAGTGCAAACTGTTTTGCTTTAAAAATGACAGTTGAGTGGCAGAAATTTTGTGGCAACTCATCAGAAAAATAATGTAAATATAAGAAATGAATTTAATTTTTGAAGATTCATGAGGTGTATGACCTACAATGCTTCACACTGGCATATTCATCATGAAGCACTAACGTGCTTCATGAAATATTCCGGGCGTAAGCGTTGTAGTTCATAACCTCATGAATCTTCAAAAATTAAATTCTTTTTTCTTAAATAAATCACACTATATAACTTGTACAAAATGTTTAAGTATTTAGTGTTGAATGCATAGGGCTTTATTAGGGCTAAAAATAATTTAAGTACAGAATATTGAGTGTTCTCTTTTTCTCATCGTTGAAAACCACTGCCAAAATGTACAGTCCTCTCCCTTTCTGGAGGAGGGAGCTATATGCGGACTCCATTTGCACGATGTCTTTATCTAAAAGTTAATGTTTTTGCACTAACATAAATCTTAATTAATCAAAAGAAAGGCATCATAAAGTCAAGCATTCCCTTAAGAAAGAGATTTTCAACACGAATCCCAATATATCCTGCAATACCCCTTGCTTTAACAGGTAACCTAATACATCAAAGCTTAATTTGCTCTATGCACTAATAAAGCCTTGTGCATGTATTATGACGTTCTTAAAGCATAGTGATGTCATGTATATTGCAATGTTTATTTTAGGGTGTTTAAGTTTCAACTGCAAAGTTGTGCCTGAATTCAGTTGCTTAGCTTGTTTTGGGGTCAGATGTAAAATTATTTCACATGACAAACATAATGGTAAAGTTCTGCCTTGAAATATAAGCGATATTTGGGCTAAGGTTAAAAATGTGATCGAGGGCTTGTTTCTCTTTCAAAATAGTAACCATGTATTTTATATATATATATCACACTGATTCATAGGTACACACACAAACACAAAGTACTGTATCCCCTCCAGTTCTGATTCAAGGAGATATGAATAAAGCCTTTCTTTCCTGCACAAGCACTTGTTTCTGTAACAATTTTTTTTAACCCAAAGTATTATTATGACATGTTATCAATAAAATTATTTCAGTAATAAGTGCACTATGCCTGTGGTTTCCTGTGCTTGATCCATCCTTTTATAAAAAATATTTGCTTCTATGCTTACTATCTAATATGTAAACTACAATACTAAAGCCTAAATTTTTGCTTGACTGTTGCATCTGATGTGGAATAATTCATTTCCAAATAGTGGTTACTGATATAGATATACATGTCACTTAAAGTACTTCAGAAAAATATTAAATGTAGCAATTCAACAAGGGATGATATTTTGTCAACATGAACATACACGTATATGTAATGTAGTGACTTAGTTGATACACTTACGCATTGCAAATAAAAACAACAATGATCTATTCTTTTGGTTTACATATACATGACTTGTGCTTAATTTGTCTAATTTCTATTTCTAGATGAAAAAAAAAACTTCCATGTGAGTCATTATAAAGATATAAATCTAAACATTTCATATTCCTAGTAAGGAAGTTTTGTTTATCTGATAAAAAAAAAAGGTACCTAAAAATAAACAAAACCTCCTTTCCATGTCAATTTTTAAAATTACTTGAACTTTTGTCCAGAGTGTGCTTTGTGGCAATGTACTTTGAAAAAAAATTTTCATGGTGCGTTAAAATTTGGACAAAATCAACGCACTTTGAAAAAAATTTTCAAAGTGTGTCAAATTTGAGACAACGTTAACGCACTTTGAAAAAATAAAATTTCCAGACTTAGACTTTAGTAATAGACAAATTTTTTTCCTTATATTTCATTCAAAAACCAGATGAATTGATCTATTCTCATCAAGAAAGAGGAAAACGAAGGTAGAAGGACCCTCAAGCAATTTCTTTATCTTTCCTTACCAAATATATGTATACATAATTCTCTCCATAAATTTGAGCTAAAGTATAAAATGAAATAATTGATATTATTTTCTTTAAAATATAATACTGGTAATACATGTACATATATCACACTAAGCTTTTGTTCTGCAAAAGAGAGGCTCAGGAGCCATATCGCTGGTCTAAGCAACAATAACCAATTGACTAAACTTTGGCTAAAGTAATTACATATTCTAATACAAATCAAAAATATAAATATACGATGCATATTTTTTTTTCATACTTATGATTAATCTCTTTAAATAACTGTAATTAGTGTAAAATAAAGGTCATCATCTTGCAAAGGAATTAGAAAAAAATATACTCCTAAATACTTGTCAAATAACTATAAAAAGACCACCATGTTGTGTTTGAAATTTTTTTTAATGAGTACACAAACTATGACTCCATTTTGTTCCATTTCTCGTTACCTTAAGGGCCATATTTAAAGCGTCTATATCTCAGATCCTGAAGTGACGTCATTATTGAAAAGTTATCCAACAGGGTTCAAATAATTATTTATCATATTTAAAAATTTTTTCTACATGTATAATGACTACTTTAAGTTGTGCACATTTTTTCAAAGTGCATCAATATGATCGATATTAAGACACTTTGAAAATATTTAAATTTCTTTCGTTTTCATAATATTGCTTATGTTAAGCGTAAAGTTTTGCGCATTTATTTTTGCGTGATTTGGTCAAGGTATTTAAATCCGGGTTCAGGCCGTTTTGGTCATTCAGTTTGTACTCAGCTATAAAAAACATATAATACCATGAATATTGATGTCGAACACAATTTTTTGTTTAAGGGAGTTTATTTTTAAGTCGTTTACAATATATTTTCTATTGCAGTTTTTGAATGTCCAGATTTTGCAGTACAATTTGTTTTAAAGAAATTCTAAGGGCATAAAACAATTGCATTGTATATTATAGGTAACTAAATTTGTAACAATACTTTTCATGTATATCGATATTAAAGAGAAATAACTTTATAATGCGGAGAGACCAAGAAGACTTTATTTGAATACTTGAATATTGTAAATCAGAGGGAAGATTACGAGAACTATTATGTTAATCGAGCTGAGTACACGACTCATATCTAATAAACACTGTAAAGTATAAAATGTTCTTGAATTTTATTATGGATTGGAAAAGAAATGTTTTATTTGCAGATGAACAGAGTGAAGTAGAAAATAAAAATTATTTTTTCAAAGTGCGTAACTTGGTCCCAAATTTAACACATCAGCTACTAAGGAATGATCTATTACTTGCAAAAATTACACCAACGTGAATGCTAGAGTTCAATGATAAACTCATCGCAACTTTTAAGTTGAGATGAATATTGTACCAGTATTTTCTTTCATTGTGCCATATTAAGAATCTACAGATTTATCATACATACCGCCTCAACGTGCCGTGGTAAATATTTGTTACATAGATACTCTCCAAGAATAAAAAATCCCACCAAAGAGAACAGGAACATGACAATTTCACGCCTAGAAACAAAAATGTAAATATTAGTATACAGTAAAGCAGTAAAAACTCTTATAATGCGACAAAAGAATTCACTACTTTAAAGCTTTATGCATTATATCCGATAAGTTTAAATTTCAACTTATGGAGAATGACAATTACCTCACTAAGGGCAAATGTGTTATGAGGGTGTTTGCAATAAGCATGTCTTACTGTATTTGAATATAAATGATCTAAGGAATCAAATCAAAATCATGAAAATCAATAAAATTTGAAATATACAACAAAATTTCTCACTCATACTGAACTGTCAATATCCACACATGAAGGGATTTTAAACCTTTCCTAGAATCCCCACCAGGAGAAAGTATTAACTGTTATTCCCTTCAAATCTACATTTAACCACTTCAGTTAGACTTTTACTTAAAAAAACAAGACTCCACTTCTCAGAGGAGGGAAATGTAACTAGGACCCCAGCATCACTAGTCAAGTCCTCTACAAACTGAGCTATCCATGGTACCTTGATTACTGCATACCTCCGCCTACCTTGATGGGCATTGCAGAATTTATTTTATATCTTATACATGCTTATCATATCTACCCTTATTTCCTGAATAAAAACCTCTCTTACTCTGTGTGAGGATGATAACTACAGCCATAGTCTACTTTATCCACCCAGTCAAAGTCATAAGGGAGCTGAAACAAAGAGAATGTAAAAATTGACAGACTGACATCAAAATTACTTAGATGTATTATATTGTAAGGCTAATAATGCAACCATTATTAAAATCATTTACACTAAAATAAAATGGAATATTTATTATTACTTAAATGGGGATTTAAGATGCACATACATATTCATTACATGTTCAATTTAGCTATAGCAAATTTGTTTAATGAAGCATTTTATGATAAAAAAGTTTTAAAAATTGAACAGTTTGATATATTATGAGCAGTTTAAGTGGCTATAAAAAAGAAAGAACAGTGACTCAGCAAGAGATGTGAAGAACATTTCACACTGCAAGCTCTACTGACAACACTTTGAGGAACAAGAGCTGTTTGTAAAACCATGCCCCCCTCCCCAAAATTGGAATTTTTCCAAGTCCAAGGGGCAAAACTCTATCAACAAGAGGCCCATGGGCCTTATAGGTCACCTGAGATTATGAACAACTTTCCAGTGATTGAATTTATTATGTTTTAATCCAGATACTATGGCATTCAAAATTTTTGAAAGAGGCACCATTGATCATCATAACAATACACTTAGCAGTTGCTTAGTTTGTTTATTTAATATCCTCAGGCAGGGTAGGGGGAAAAAATGCATTTCAAGTAATCAGTAATATTCAGCATGATCAGTAATGCCCCAATCACACATAACCCCTACTTTTAGGCCTAGATCCACACATTGCACAATTTTTAAAAAAACCCTTGCTTTTCAAAAATATTTGATTAATACCAAGGAGCAGATTTCAAACAATTCATCCAGTTTCAGTATATAATACACCCCCCCCCCATTCTTTATGGTACCCCTCCCCTGGGGCCTTGAAATTCACAATTCGGGAAAGATTATGACCCTTGCTCATCATAACTATATAGGTAGTTCATCTGCTTAATACCAAGGAGCAGAGAAGAAAATTTTCAAAGATTTAATGTATTTTCACTATATAATCAATAGAGCCCCGCCCTATCTCTAGAACCCCTGACCCTAGGGCCATAAAATTCAAAATTTTGGAAGAGGTATTCTTGCTCATCATAACTATGTAATTAGTTTATTTCATTCCTAGGAGCAGAAAAGAATTTTTTTTCAAAGAATTCATGTTTTTTCAATATATAATCAATAGAGCCCTGCCCTAACACCAGAACCCCTGACAATGGGGCCATAAAATTCACAATTTTGGTAGAGGCACTCTTGCTCATCATAACTATGCATTAGTTAGTTTATTTAAAACCCAGGAGCAGAGAAGAAGATTTTCAAAGAATTCATGTAATTTCACTATATAATCGATAACCCCCCCCCTTACACCAGAACCCCTGACCCTGGGGCCATAAAATTCACAATTTTGGTAGAGGCACTCTTGCTCATCATAACTATGCACTTAGTTAGTATATTTAATACCCAGGAGCAGAGAAGAAGTTTTTCAAAGAATTCATGTAATTTCACTATATACTTATTTAGCCTCACCCTAACACCAGAACCCCTGACCCCGGGGCCATGAATTTCACAATTTTGGTAGAGGACTCTTGTGCATCATAACTATACACTTAGTTATTTTATTTAATACCCAGGAGCAGAGAAGAAGATTTTCAAAGAATTCATGTAATTTCACTATTATAATCAAAGACCCCCACCCTAACACCAAAACCCCCTAACCCGGGGGCCCAAAAAAAATTCCAATTTTGGTAGAGGCACTCTTGCTCATCATAACTATGCACTTAGTTAGTTTATTTAATACCCAGGAGCAGAGAAGAAGATTTTCAAAGAATTCATGTATTTTCACTATATAATCTATTGACCCCCCCCCCCCCCCTTACACCAGAATCCCTGACCCTGGGGCCATAAAATTCACAATTTTGGTAGAGGAAAATTTTTGCTCATCATAACTATGCACTTATTATTTATTTAATACCCAGGAGCAGAGAAGAAAATTTTCAAAGAATTCATGTAATTTCACTATATAATCTATAGACCCCCCCTACACCAGAACCCCTGACCCTGGGGCCATAAAATTCAAAATTTTGGTAGAGGCACTCTTGCTCATCATAATATGCACTTATTATTTATTTAATACCCAGGAGCAGAGAAGAAGATTTACAAAGAAATAATGCTTTTTCATTATTATTTAGGCCAGCCCAGCACTAAACCCCTGACCCGGGGCCATGTTTTCACAATTTTGGTAGAGGACTCGCTGATTACAATCATGCAAACAGTTTGACTGCTTGATGTCCAGGAGAAAGAAGAAGATTTTTAAAGATTGCACTAATTTTAGTGGTTTTTGCCCCACCCTCCAGGCCCCGGGGGGGAGGGACCATGAAATTCAAAATTTTTTGTTCCCCTTTACCCATAGATGCTTTATGCCAAATTTGGTTGAAATTGGCAGTGGTTTCAGAGAAGAAGCTGAAAATAGTCAAATGTTAACGCACGACGCACGACGAACGACGAAGGACGAAAAGAATAGCAATAAAAAATGGCACGATCATACCCAAAACAGAACTTACCCGATATTATGATAAATCTGTACAGGCCTACTAAATTTCATTTCAATACGTGCAATTCTGCAAAGAAAATGAACGGAAACTGCAAATAAGTGGAATTTTTCTAAGTACAAGGGGCATAACTCTGACAACAAAGTATCATACCCAAAACAGAACTTGACCAAGATATTCAGCTGATAAATCTGTATACCAAATTTCATTTCAGTATGTGCAATCTCTGTGAAGAAAATGAACGGAAACTGCAAAAAGGGAATTTTTCCAAGTCCAAGGGGCATAACTCTTCAAAATGGCGGATTTTCGTCCCCAAAAAAACTTAGCTTAGATATTCACCTGATGTATCTTATATAACAAATTTCATTTCAGTTTGGAACGGTTGTGAAGAAAATGAACGGAAATAAATGGAAAACAGACATAGCGACAGACCGACCTACAGACAGCAGCAAAGCAATATGCCCTCCCTTCTTCAGGGGGGCATAAAAATAATTATTTTTTCTGCAGTAAACCTATCTGACTACAAGTAAGTACTAATAATGTAACACAAATACACATTTTATCATTGTCACAGGTGGTGAAAAGTCAAGCCTAACCAACTCAACCCCAGGGCCTCGGGATCTTGCCAGGCCTAACCACTGAGCCATTAGCCCCGACATATTGACTGACTTACATGCACCTGTGAACCCAGTGATACCATAAACAATGGACTGCTCATAATCATTTCTCAGTCACTTGCAATACCAAACAAATTCAGTGATATAAAAAAAAAACCCTTTGTTTAATGAAGATTGCACACATATAGCGGATTAAATGCTCTTGGTTATAAAAAAAAAAATTTGGCTACATTATTGAAATGCATCTAACAGTAAAAGACACTTGCATATGTGAAGTTACAGTGAAAACCTTTAAAACATGCAATATATCTAGTATAGTGTGAAGTGCTAAGTGGATCAAAACTTAAAATTTAAAAGGGTCCTGCATTAAATAATAAGCAAGTGGCAACGCTTTTCCCCCAAAATTTCTGCCATCAACATAGTATACCCATTATAGCAGTTGGCATATATCATTACCGGTTCATTGAAGTTTTTTTTAATCTGTAATTATCGTATTATCATAGTCCGACCTCAGATCTTTTCCTATTGGTTCAACATTGGGGTAATCCCCCCTTCCCCCCCCTAGTTCTGGGTCATATGGTTCATAATCCTCGGGCTCAACCAATTCTTAGCAGCGGCTCTCCCCCTCCTCTGTTTTAGGGTAGGGACCAGGCAAGAATCCTTCTCCCAATGGACAGCTATAAAAAAAAAAAATTTAACAGGATAAAGACATTTTTTAAAGTCAGTTTTACGTATCTTACTATTTAAATGGTAAAGGATATTTTATACAGTGTTTAATTTTGTAACATGATTAACTAATAAGTGTCAAAATTATACACCACTACAGTCTAGAAAACATTTTCTTTCACATGTATTACTGTGTATACAAGTTTCAGGAAATTATATCTACGTAAATAATAAATTAAAAAAAATGTGCACAGAGCACTGCTCGTGAAGCTAGCTCAATAGACCAACGTGTAAGAACAGAGGAAATTGGGAATTAAATCTGTACATATGTCATGCAAATATTTGTGTGAAACCTTCCCAGAATTCCTTTGCTACCCAATACCCTTTGCGCGAATAAATAAATAAATAATAACGTAGAGCAAAAAAGGCTTTCAGTTTGTATAAATCTTTAAAAGAAACAAAAAAATAACTCTGCAATATCTTTGGACAAAAATTGTACTAGGTCTATA